GGGTGGGGGTGGGGACAGGAGGCCCACAGTTGGGTGGGTGTGGGAGGGCAAGCTGCTGCCCCCCCTCACTCTAGGAAGGGAGCCGCCTTCAGTGCCTCATGAACAGGGAGCTTGCTGGGATAAAATGCTGAGACGAGCAGGTTCCCACCACGGTGTCTCGGAGAGGCAGGGATGGATCCATCTCTGCACCATCAGAGTGTGTATAGTCTCCACCTGCATGTCGTACAGCTTTTGAACGGAGACCCGCTTCAGAGGGGGCCCCCGGGAGGGGGGGTTCCAAGTTTAAGCTGCTGCCAGTGTGTGTGTCCTGTTAACATATCCGTGTGTCTCCACAAGCCTGTGTGTGTGTGTGTGTATGTGTGAGTGAGTGAGTGAGTGTGTCCAGCCCATCTGGAAACAACTTCCCGGCCTCACAAAAGAAACCAGGCATAAATTAGAAGAGCGGGGCCCGATTTATTAGGGGCCGGTCTATGAGTCTCAGGTTTCTAGATAAACTGTGGCTGGCCCGGCATCATCTCCCACTGGCGGGGACAGCGTTAAAGGGGAGGCCAGGGACAACATTAAAGGGGAGGCCGGGGACAGCGTTAAAGGGGAGGCCGGGGACAGTGTTAAAGGGGAGGCCAGGGACAGTGTTAAAGGAAAGCCCAAGATGGTCAGTTTATTGGGAATGGCTGCTCTGTGTGCTTGCCTGAACACACACAGATAGGCACCTTGCCAAAAACAGCATCGCATACAGTGGGTCAGAGGTGTTCTTCACATATTTGCTTATTGGCTGAATGTCATAAGACAGGTAGAGGAAGGTAGTGATGCGCCATCCCGTGGCAAATCGGGGGCAGCACAGCAGCCCCCCCTGTGCCTCCTGCGTGGTGTCGTCACAGGGCCGCGTCACACACCCCTTTTAGGAAGCCGGCTCCCCTCCCTGTTTAATCAGTCGGCAGTTGATTGGTTGTTCTGCTGTACTTCAGTGTTTGCGTTGCCTTTGAGCTGGACTGCACGGCCTAAACATGTATGTTGGTGCATCACGGGCTTGTGTTGGTCAGGCATGTCATCCTCGCATCACAGATCAACACGCTCTGCTTTCAGACGGCAAATTACCGCATTCTCTGATCAGCGTTCTGATTCCGATCTGCTCCCCTCTCCTGTTTTTAAGCAGCGGGGTGTTCCACGGGTGACGTGAGCACGCAACAAAAGATGAGCAGGTGTCCGAGGATGGATCAGAGTGGCATCGGCAGCCGTCTCGCACTAAACAAATATTCGTCCAGATCCAGTGGCTTTAGTGTCTCATTGGCTAAAATGATCCTGGCATCACGTACAGGGATTTAGGGAACGTTGGTTCTGTCATTGGTCCTGAGCCTGGTGTGTAATAAAAATAAAAGACAGCAAACACTGCAAGGAGGGAAAATCAGCGGGAAGCGGTGCGGGGCAGCTGGGCGGGCGGCGACCCCCTCAGCCTGCGTGACGCCCACGCCGGGATCTGCATGGGGAGGCGAGGGGGCCAAAGCCTCCTGTTCCTCCCCAGCTCAGTCCGACTCCCCGATGTGTGGGATTATCGAGAACGGGGGGTGATCGAGGGCACACAAATGTTCCGGTGGGTTTCCCCACCAGCTGTCGCTCCCAGCATCTGGATTTGTGTCAAATTAGAAGTGACAATTCCCCACCCCCCCCTCGCCTCCACCCCCCCAGGCCCCTTGTCTGCAGGAGTGTCAAAGGGCGGGGTCAGGTCGGGTGAGGGTGGGGGAGGGCAGGTTAATATTTAGCACCGATGCCCCCGCAGTGTAATTAGAGACAAAAGGGCTGCGTGCGGGAGGCTTGCTGTTCCAGCAGGCTGTCGGCAGCGGGATGAGCGGCGCCCGTCAGGACGCCTCGCTTCAGGCCAGAAAGCCGCCCGCTTTGTTCGTCCCGCTCCGTCCACCGGGCCGGCGCCGGGGAAGCGCTTCCTTCCAGCTGCCCATGCATAAAACTTTCAGCATGTGATAAATAACGGGAGCATTCCCTCTTTAAATTGCATTTTCTGGGGAGAGACATAATTGTTATTCTAAATTGCTAACGAGCGCTTTCATTTAGAGGAAATTGCGATGGAAACACTAAAAACAGACCTGCGACGTGAAAAGCCCACAGTGCTTCAGACAAATTGAAAACACTGATTACTTTCTCTTTATTTCTATCCAAAAGCTTCTTTATTGTTAATTTAAAAAAAAAAAAATATATATATATATATATATATATATATATATATATATATATATATATATATATATATATATATATATATATTAAATGGCCAAAAATTTCTGTTAATCTTTATGTACCTGTAACTGTTTGCATGTGACTGTTTTCATGGGCCACGGGGTTGACCCCATGAAGCATTAATTCAGGCTGATTTGTTAGATCTCTGCTCGCCGAATGGTCAAAGATATGAGGGGAGGTTCACACGGGGAGCTGGTGCTGGGCAATCCCGACACCTGGGCAGAGACAAGGAAGACGCTGTCATTGGCTGCTGAGGTACAGCCCGATCGCCAAGGTCATATCCAATCAGCTGCCACCACCCCGGGCGGCTCCGACCCCGGCGTCGCAGGGCTGAGGTCGGCCGTGCGTCACTTCCCATCAAAATCTGGGCCACTTTGGTTGCCGCATGACTGGCGGGGAGCCGCTGGTGCTGTGGCCGTGTGGGGAGGGGGACTGCCGTTTGAGAGAAAGGCGAGGCGGAGGGGGGACCTCAGCAGTTTTCTGCTGCTCCCGCTCTTGTGTTTTCACATGCTAATCAGCGGCGCCGCTTGTCCACTGCTCCATAATCCCACGTAATTCTCCTCATCAGGGCCGTGTGACCGTCACCATTGTTGTTATCGTGTCGACACCGTCTATGGGACGCCGGGGCTTTCAAGCACGAGCCTCCCTAAACGGATCTCCCCGCCTTTTGTCGTGGCCGGGACCCGCCACGGGATTTGCGGGATCAACGGCGTCGTCATTGCGGGCGTCCCGTGAAAGCACAGGGTTTCCAAAGCTATGCGGCAGGGGCTTTGTGCAGACAGGCCCCCTGCTCCCACAAACGCCCTAAAATCTAACTCGGCGCTGGGCCTTGGCAAGGTCACAGCCAACGGGCTTCGACTCTCCTCCCGAGCAGGAATCCGGGCCCGAGTCCTCAGAGGGAAAAGGCAGAAAGCCGCGGAAAACAAGCGAATCAAAGGCGGCGCGAGGCACCGAGGGCTTTCTGTTCGTTTGTTTGGATTTTTATGCACGCCAGTGAGGTGGGGGCTATGCTCTGCACTGCACATTACTCTAGATGCTGTTCCATTATTTAGGCTCTTTGCTCACATTCAAAACTCCTGGCATGTTACATGTATGTAGAGGAACCTGGCTCGAGTTTTGAACATGATTCCCAGTATTTGATTGGACATCACCGCGAGCGTACTCCACTGCCAAGGGGGGCTGAAGCCTGCTGGATCTGTGTCACGTTCACACCCCAACGCTCAGCAATCGAGCAACATCTGCACAAGGTCCTGAGCGGCTTAAATAAAAATCTGTGTGTATCCTGGACTTCGACACCCTCGCCCTCACTCACAGAAAGAGGGGAAAGTTGGCCGGTTTTAACGGTTTAGTTATCGGTCATATGTGTTTCTTAATGCTTGTCTCGGGTGACCAACTTGTTAACCTTCCGACAGGGTTAAAAGGAGGTATGGTACATGCAGTGATCTTGTAAACGATGGGAGAAATTCTAATCGCATGCAGGATGGAAAGCAGAAGAGGAGGGTCTGCCGCCCCCCTTATCGAAACTGAAGCTGTAAAAATACTTCCACTAAAAGGTGTAAATCGTATAAATTCAACCTGATCAACAAAATTCAGTGTAAATTAGTTTTATCGCCATAAAATAATGTCACCATCAGTTAAACATTTTTTCTTACCTGCTCACTAAACTAACTAAACTGTAGTTTACTACAGTTTTTCAGTATTACTCTTAATATTTAATATCACTATTGATAATTATTGTCAAAGGACTAGTTTCAGTCCTAAATGAGCATTAGTGTGCTTAAAATTGGATTATAGTGTTTTATGGAGACACTGAAAAATGAAAATGTTTGTATTCCCTACGCACATGTGTGTGTGAGCTGTGCGTCCAGGGTGACGGGGAGGCGTGTTGGGGGGAGGAGGGTGGCATGGAGACGCTCTGGGCCTGTTCCACACAGAGAATCGCGCCGCCATGTCCCAGCGTCACCTGCTGCGCTCCATGGTGGGACAGAGAGGGGTGCCAGATGTCATTAGAGTATAGTAGCATCATTACCAAAGAAACAACATGTTTGGGGGAGACGTCTTGGCTTAAGGTGGGGTGGGGGGGATCCGGAAAAATGTGTGTATCCATTAAATCCCAGGATGGGGCAGCAAACATGCTCTCTGGGAGATGTCCAAAAATACGGCCAGCCAAAAAATAAATTAAAGCACGGCAATTATCGGAAGGGAGAATTAGAGACAGAGAAAGTTTTGCTAATAAACATGTGAAATGCCCCCCGGGGGCCCTGAGTGCTTATTACTGCGCTCTCCTGGATTAATGTTTTTTTTGTTCCCAGGATGTTGTAGGTAGATTTTATTAATTCTCCCTGGCAGAGCTTAATGAAAGTTTTCTCCTAACCCCCCCCCCCCCCCCCCCCTCATTCCTCATCAGATGTTCTGATTAATTTCAGAAGATCGCTTAATGGATGTGTCCAAATTATCAGCTGTGACGGATATACGACAGGCAAGTGGAGGGGTGGAGCAACAATCAATTAAGACCCCTGTCCCCCAACCCCCCCCCCCCCCCCCCACAAATTCCCACAACTCCCCCAGTTCTTGGTTTAGAAACCAAACAGCACTCATCAGTTGTAGGTTTTATCCGGCTGAATATAGGTGAGCACACACCTCCTCAGGAAGGGAGTGGACACAGGGGCTGGGGCATCTTGGGATTTGTGAGTCCTTGAAGATGAAGTATCCGGATTTAGTGACGTTTCAATGTTGTCCTCTCTCCCGACCAGGTAGTCCCTGAGCCGACAGCTGGGTGGAGCCATCGGTGACCCCCCCGTGTCTGTGTGTGTGGATAAAGCATGCCCACAGCATGGAAGTGAAGGAGCGAAGGCCCTATTGCTCACTGACCAAGAGCCGGAGAGATAAGGAGCGGCGTTACGGCGGCACGCCGGATGAGGCAGAGGAGTGCCGTGTGGCCACCCAGCAGTCATACAGCTCCAGCGAGACCCTGAAGGCCTTCGAGCAGGATTCCTCACGGCTGCTTTACGGCAGCCGTGTCAAGGAGCTGGTGCACCGCCAGGCCGACGAGTACGCACGCCCAGGTCGGTGTAGACCCCACCCCCAGCAGCAAAAGCAGGCAACAAGGTCATTCTTCCGGGAGTGGCTTCCCTGTGACACCCTGTGTTGATTTGGTGGAATTTATAGTATTGCATTTGTAAAGGGCCTTCTGGCATCATCTGGCCGTGGGTTCGAGGCCGCCTAAGAAGGGCTGCGGCGGGGGGGAGACTTCCTCTGTGGGAGTGACACAGTGACTCCCACAGCAGTGCCGTTAGTGCGGACCCTGGGCAGCCGAAACACTGACACCGATTATAGGCGAATTAGCTGGCTAAATAATACATAAATAAACAAGCAAAAGCGCGAGGCCCGATTGCGTCATTCTTTCGGTAGCGATCCACTTCCAAGCGAATTGAATTGCCCAGCGAATTAAAAAGGAGAATTAATTAACCTGCCTAAACTAATTTACTGCAATTAGCAATTAAATAACATAGGCTGGGGTTAGGTAATTATCAACGAAGTATAAAAGCATATCTGCTGTGAAGTTAAAACTATTAAAACTAATATTATTATGATTAAAATGACGAGAAGTGATTAGCAAGGTCCCCATTTTAAAAAGGGTAAAAATTGCACTCTCGGTCCGTCACCAGTTTATGAGTTGAGCACCAATGCCAGTTAACACTTCATAAATATTTCAGAGAAAGAGCATAATTACTTAATTGTCTTATCTTTATTTTTTCATTGTATGTAAATTGGTGTTCATTTAAAATTAATAGAATTTTAATTGAACTACACTCAGTATCTTAGTAATTGCCTCTCTTGCGGGGCGGTTCTGTCCCGCTATGTCGCCTCCGTTCACGCAGCGGGATGGCCGCTCTCTCTTTACCGAGTCCGGCTTATTTTACACCCCGAAAAGTAGCGGAGACAGACTCCCAGATCTGCTCCACGCCTAATATGATTATTAGTATTTAGATTAGTATTTATACATTGTAATAATCTACATTCCCCGAATGTGCAAAAGCAGGGGGAAATGATTAAACCCAAATTGAAGAACCTTTTCACCTTGAAATATCGATAGTAAGAGGTAATTTATTTCCGTGTAATTGCAACTGTATTCTGCGGTAATTTGATTGTTATGAACGTCGCACCGTCGGGCAAAACTGGAACGTAATGCATTCGTTTGTTTTTTATTGTTTAATTACAAATTTTATCATTAGTTGAAATAATAATTGAACTCATTTCAAATGATGGCCGAAACTGGGGAATGGGCTGACTGAATCGGCGACTGCGGGCAGCTGTCGGACCTGCCAGCTATTAGCAGTCTACCTGAAAAATGATCCCGAACCGCTAACTGAAATGGGGACTATTTGTCAGGGAGCCTGGCCGCTCTGTACGCACGCGGAGCCCTATTCTTCTCACATCCCCCTATTACCCCTTCTGCTTTTTAGGCGGAACTGTGCTCGCGCGTAACAATGCGGTTAATTTTATGGAGCTATGTACTTCTGGCGGGGGCGACACTTTACGCCTTAGATTTAGAGAGACCTCTGTTTCTAACCTGCAGCAGTGAAAACCCCCGTTTCTGTGTCAGGGAGAATCAGTTCCCTGTCTCAAAACGAAGAGGTATCACTGGTATTTAAGGAAATGGAAATAGTTTGCGCAAAAGCATTAACTTTGGGCTGTGGGAAAGCAAGTGAATGAATTATGCATCTGAGGATTAATTTTTTTATTATTATTCTCTACATGAAGAATAGTACACATTTGACTCTGCATGGAATATTTAGCTAAATCTCTCCGAGAGATTTATAGTGATTAAGACGAGCTTCCCTCTCCGCCGCTGTGAAAGGCTCTCCTCCTACCTTATTTTATAACTTTATTTTATATCTGGGACGCAAACGACAAGCATAGCTACGGACTAAGATTATCACAAATGATTCTTAAAAAAATATTTTTATTTTCGGCTCTGTGTGTGAATATTTAAGTAATATTGTGTAGCGGAATACCAGATGAGTATTAAACATTTTTAATAGTTCGGTTTTTTCCTTTTCTGTTGTATATTCAAACTCAATATTATGATCAAATTTGTTTTATATTAACACAATTTTAATTATCATCTTTACAGCTGCAGGTTAAATCTCGTTTTTAATGCAATGGATTTTGTGTGTATGTGTTTGTGTGTGTCAGTATGCACACACACACACACACTACACACATACTAATCAGTAATTAGTAAACTATATGTAGGAGTATTATTAAATGATTTGTTGTTCTACTGTTAAATTAATAGGGGATGTACTATTAAATTATACCTATATATAAAACCTTCAGTAAAATGTAATGTAATCTTGCTGTAGAGTAGTTTTCGGGCGCTGTTTTCCCGGTGTTTGCTTTGCAGACTTTAATGACCAAGAAGTGCAGGTTTCTATACTTTAAGCCGATTGTTAACCTTGCGTGCCCGCCAGCTTCCGTGACGCGTTGGCCGGACCGCTGTCTTTTTGCCGGGCCGCTGCGTCTCGAATAACAGCCGGGAGTCAGCCTGTCTGCAGGCTCCGTGTCGTGGCTCGTAAAACAGGTTCGACCGAAAAAAAACCTTGTAAATATTTTTTTCTCCGATTCTGATGAAATTGGCCACCATTGAAAAAGCTATGCCGAAATTCTGAGGTCGCTAATCTGAGTTTGTTACAGTATGATTTAATCCGGGCCGTCATAAATAGATCAGTAGCACATTATCAAAAAATCATTGGGCCTTTTTTAATAGGCTAATAATAAAAAAACGTTGATAGCAAGACAGCCTATATCCCGGCAGTAAATTGTGTTTATTTCGAAAAGGAGTTTCGCATCTGAATATTGTAGATCTGCACACCTCAGATTAAGTTTAATTTTGACGAGTGTCAGCATATTAGACCTGTCTCGTAGTGGTGGGCAACCTAACATTAATTTATCGTCGGCGGTTGTAATTTCAGGTAGCTGCGTGTTAAAAACCCCCAACCCCGATTTTTTTTTTTTAAGAATTAGACTAGTTTTGTGTTGTTTACCTATCAAGCACGAAGCCAGACCGCAAAATCCTGAGTATCAACCTCAAAATTTATCCCAGTCAGCGAAATGTTCATTTCTACCTTTACTGTTAATTTTATTTTGCAGACCCGTTTGTCCAAAGTGATTTCCTAGTGAGGCAAATGGCACATTACAAACATAGGTGCTGTCGAGGAGTCAACTAGGCGTAAGTGCGGCTGAGCTGAGCTTCCAGTGAATGACCACGTGCCAGTGCCCTACTTAACACTATCAGGCCTATCATAAGGACGGGACACACCGGCGCGACTGTCACGGATGCCCGCGTGTCCGGGGTCCGCCGCAATACGACTGAACAGACAGACGTGAAACGACGCCATTTCAGCCCGCATAAGTGCATTTCAGCTTTCTCAGGTGACTAGACCTTGAACTAAAAACTTAATTGTGTTTTCTAAACAGTTATTATTATTATTTTATTTTATTTTTTTGAAAAACCTTTATATGCCATCGGACTGTTAAAAAATATTGCACTCGCGTAACGCCGTGACCAGCAAACGGTCCATAGATGGATCGGATACGCTGTTCGGGAAAAAGGGGTGCGGCATGGCTGGTGAGGATGAACTGCTTCCCAAAAAAGGGGTTCTGCTTCCCAAAAAAGGGGTTCTGCTTCGATTATGTGTAAAAGATTTGAATTTGCGAAATCGACGTGGACCAATCTACTGTAATCTGACAACTTTGCCGTTCGTACAACAAGCAGCAACCCATCCATTTTCATCTAGTATTATCTGTTAGTTTTTGTTGTTGAGAAGGGCATAGTTATTGACCTACAAGGGTGTAACTTTGGCTGGAATATTGGGGGGGTTGAGGTCTCCACCCATTACGGGGGAAACATGATTATTGGGGGGGTTGTATTAGCTAGTTTTGATTTAGGGGGGGGGGGGGGGGGCTACAACCCCCCCACCCCCCCATAATTCACGCCCATGTTGACCTAAATAAATGTTAATTTGTACTCCAAACTATTCAAATTTCAGTACTAAAAAAATTCACTTTCGCCTTAATGTAGTTTCTTTTATATGTACAGTATTTTGTATACCTTAATAATTAAGTTTACTGTAGTTGTGCCACAAGCAGCGTTTCTTGTAAGTATAGAATCGCTGTTTAAGTAGTTAATTGACATTACTACTTGCATTCCAGTTTGGTTGGTTTGTGAACAAACAAACAAACACTCGTGATCTGTATCATGGAGCGTGATTCTAAGCAGTAGCATTTAGTATTTGAGCCATATTGGCCACCCCTAGGTGTCGGCGTGTTTGCCGGGTCTCAGCATGCTTCTTTTCCCCAGACACCAGGGCGTTTGTGTCTGTTTGACCCAAAGTGAGGTCCTCCCTGACAGCCTCGGGCTTCACGCAGTGGGCAGCAGCCCTTAGGCTCTGCGAGGGGCGTCACTGCGTGCAAATGGTGTTTTCAGAGCAGCAGTTTATGCTCTCGCCTTCTGCCACCCATAAGACATCTACGCTATCTGCCGACAGCCGGGACCCCCGGCCCCCTCGCTCAGCCCATTTTTCTGTCAGGTTGTTTTGTGTTTTAATAATGGAAGGGCTTTCAGAGTCACTGGCACTGAGTGAAGAAGGCAGGCGTGGGGACCGGCAGGTGAGGAGGGGCCTGGGGGGGATTACAGTGGGCAGAGCGATGTGCAGCTTAGTGACACACAGAGGAGTTGCTGCATAGCTTCGTGTGGGGGAATTATTTTTTAGAAAGACAACGGGCACCCATCCCAAGCAAAGGAAGCCCGAAGGTTATCGATATCACTGTGTAAATGTGGTGAATGCTTGGGCTCCATGATGAAGGCAGCTGCTTGCACTGTCAGCCTGGTTGCTGGGGCGGCGCTGATGTCACTCTTGGGTTGTCGTGACGTCTTGTGCCAGCCCTCTCTCGCTCGCTCATCCACGCTCTGGCACAGCTGTTAAAAGACTTGGGCCGCCAGCGTGGGTAGGAGCACCGCTGCTCGGTGTGATTCGGCACCGGTGACCAGGTCCTCCGTCTGTCTCTCTGCCCCCCTCCCTTACCCCCACCCCCCCTTGCAGGGCAGAACTTCAGCCTGCGACAGCTGAGCCTCTGTGAGCCGCCGCCCCCCCGCCGGGCTCCCGCCTTCTGCACGGACATCGGCCTGCCGCACCGCGGGTACTCCGTGGGCCCCGGCTCGGACGCAGACGTCGAGGGAGAGCGCCCCATGTCGCCGGAGCGCGCCATGCGGCTCTGGGGTCGGGGGGTGAAGCCAGGCCGCAGCTCCTGCCTGTCCAGCCGCTCCAACTCTGCGCTCACCCTGACCGACACGGAGCACGAGAACAAGTCCGACAGCGAGAACGGTGAGTGTCCTGTTGCGGGTCTGGGTCGCCGGGCGTGGTGCGGCTTTCCGTAATGCCCCATCAGATGAGCCTCATCTCAAAACCAAGTATGTAGGCGGTGGGCGTGTTGGAAAGTCTGAGCTTAAACGAGGCCTTTGATTGTGGAGCTGATTGGCCCTGACAGGCAGCTGCTGACTGAGTTCATGGGCAGTGGGGATTAATCCCCGTTTGATGAAGAAACTGGGGAAAAGTGTGTGGGACAGGGGTAGCGGCCCTCCAGGACGGTGTAAAGCCGTTTCTGATGAAGGCTCCCCTGGGCCACAGTGTAACCGGAGAATGGTGAGCAAGCGCTGGTATACGAAGTCCTCGCAGGTGCAGCGGAGGCTGCGTATGGCTGAGCAGCCTCGCACAATGGCTGATTACCCGAGCTCTCCTGGTCTGAAGTGCAAATCTGATCAGGCCTGAAAGCCAGACGCAGAGAAACACAGCTCTAGATTTGAACCGGATTTTTTTTTGGGGGGGGGGGGTTGTATTTTGTGTTTTTAGTGCAGTGGACTGGACAGCCTTAGTCTAGATTTATAATGTTTTGGACTTCTTCAAACATTTTTTTAAGATTGAATTCCAATTGAATTCCAAAAAATTGATTGTTTTCAAAGATGCCAAATTTGTGTCCTTTCGGCTTTCCTCGGAATGCTTTTTTCCAAAAAAGTTGTCCTGCTGCATCCAGCCAGGCAGACCCCCACCCCGATGTTCAGTATAAATTAAGTAACATAGTGGGGGGGGGGGGGGGGGGGTGGATTCTTATCAGTAACAGCAAGAGATATTTTTCTTAATTAATTCTGTTTGAGAAGGATAAAGCGCTGAATTTGCTGTTTTTTTAATTCAAATTTTGCTAAACGCTGAGCTTTAGGTGCCTGGAAGTCAGTGTATGTTCTGAATCGTTAGCCGACATCACCCATGGGGGGTGGGGGGGGTGGGGCGCGCGCTTTGCAAATGCAGATGAATATTGTTTATTATCTGTGGTTTTTCACCCCTCGCTTAAAGCTGTCCCAGGAATAAATGAAGAGGTGTTCTTTTAAGAGAAGTGCCTTTAGCGGAGGGGGGCAAGACAGCCATCGTCTGACCTTGAGAGCCTGCGGCAGCTAATAAGCACTTCGTGTGCAACGTTATGTTCTCCCAGCTGATTGGTTAATCTGCCAGCCCTCAAAATGGCAGCAGCCCTCATCTGACATGAGCCCTGTGCTATGGGTCTCCTCGCTCAGTGGCATGTCGAGGTCAACTCTTTCGACTTGACCAGAGTCCGCCGGCTCCTTTTAAATATCTCTCTGATTTCTTAGGATGTGTGAAGTCTTGAGAATCGACCTGAAAATCCATTTTTTCTTCTTATCGAATGTAACCGTCACTGCGCTGTGGGTTTGGAGAGAGGTACCCGCGGGGCAGGGAGCTGTCCGGCAGGCCGCCTGACTTTTCTAAACGCGAGCCAGCACTGAGGCTCCGGCCGGCTTCGCTTTGAAACACTTCCGCAGCTTTTCCTTTTGTTTTTCGGGAAGCGTAAACAGTAACTTAAGCTGGGTCTCAATATAGGAGCGTCCGGAAACTGTTCTGCAGGTCAGAGCACAGGTTAACGCTGGTGGGGGCCCCACCCTGCTTTGCTGGCCTTTTGTGTGCTGGGGGGCAACCCCGTCATGCACAAAGGGGTCGCACTAAAAGGGCCCGGCGTCCTGTTGTGCCATCGCTGCTCCACGGCAACGACGGGCCGTGTCCAGCGGGATGGAAACGGGACGAGCGGGAGCCTTAATGGCGCTTCCCTCCGCTCCCTGCTGAGACAGAGCAAACACCCTAACTGGACCAGGCTTCTGGGGGGTGGGGCCAGTATGACTATTGAATGTGATTATACCGGCTAAAAGGCCGCGGTGGGGTGACTGTAATTTCTATTTTAAGTATTTTCTAACGTACATTATATCTCTGTTGTTTGTTAGCACTGCTCTGTCAGACGTGCAGGGATCCCCCACCCCAGCTGAAAGGACACTCCCCCCACCCCCCCAGTGGAGTCTCGCTTGCTTGTCAGCACAAGCTGCAGGCCTCTCCTCTAGCCTGACTGTACTGTGACGGTTGCTTTCACTCTTCCCTTCATCCGCCTGGGCGTTTGTGTCCAAACCCTCCTTTGCTGCTGAGCCGGTGTTTGAACACGACTAGGGTGTCCGGAAACCTCCCTCGATTCTCGAACGGTGGGGTGAAGCCCCGTGAAGTCATGCCGGGCAGGTCCCTCGCTGGCATCTCCTCAAGGACGTTCGCAGACTGGGTGCCTGATGCTCACCTGCAGCCTGTAAGCCCGCGAGAGCAGAAGGTCTGCACATTCTGCTGAAAAGTAATCTACCAGTGCCTGCTAACCCTCCCCCGCCTCGCCCCGCTGTCTTTTACGTAGTTAAGCCTCTTCTTCTCTGCAGGGAAAAGCCTGAAACTTTAGGTTTCCTAAATTTCATTAAACACATAGGGTTTAGTCCGCAAAGCTAATATCAATGTGCTCCAATCACATTAAGTTCAAAAATGGTATTATGTTGTCATGGAGACCATTGCATCGCTTTAACTATGGAGACCGCCGTGCTGGTCTTGTATTTCAGCGATTTAAAAGGCTTACATTGTACCCGCTGACACACACGTTTCCACCATGGAAGGGCACCATCGCAGGGTCTCTCTTGGGCGTCTCCCGGAGGCAGAGTTCCTCGCCACCACTCCCCCTTCTGGTGCTTTCCGCAGTGTGCAGTGGGCTTCCTGCATCGGGCTTCTGTGATGCCGCTCCAGGGCCCTCTGGATGGTTTGTCCTGGGGGAGGCTAAATGCAGACAGCCTGCTCCTGATCTGTTTCATGGTGTGGAGTTTTCTGGGTATGTGGCTTCCTTTAAGAAGGATAAGGGCTCTGTCCTGCATCGCTCTGAGTGCCATGCATTGCGACATGCACCGATTCCCATAGGAATCCCCAATTTGTTATCTCCCTTAGCTGCCTTTTTGTCCACAGAGTGCCGACTCTCTTCCATTCGGCGCACGCTCACGCACGCGCTCATCACATGGCTGCGGGCCGCTCAGCGAGTGGGACGGCCCTGCAGCCATCGTGTGGGGCTGGCGGCGCTGGCTTCCCCCGCTCCAGAGGGGAAGCAGCCGTCGCTCTAATTGAATCGCGGATTTATGCGGCTGGCGAGCAAGAGCATGTGCGGCTTTGCCGCGCAGGCCGGCTGCCTTGTAACAGGGAGCCCGCAGCTCGCAGTCGCTCCTCTGACAAGGAGCCGGTGTGGAAATGGTCCTGCCGTGGCTCCTGGGAGCCGGCCTGTCACCGGGGCGCGCCGACGTAAACCTGTCCGTGTTGCCGCAGTGAAAGGCTGCTTGTTTCCTGGTGGTTTTCCTGGCACTCCGCATCATGTTCTATGCTGGGAGATGTCCATGGGCATCAGGGCAGGGGCGGCATCACCCCTGACTCCTGTTACGCCTCCTGTTACGCCTCCTGCATGCTGGTGGAGGTCAAGGATCATAGACAAAAACGCAGCCTTATATAAATGCTGGCGATGTCGGCTTCGCCGTGCTGCACTCCCAGCAAATAGAAACCAGACGGGACCCCAAAGCTCACCGGGTCAGCAGGCGGGTGGGGGTGAGTTCCCGTGGCCAATCACAGACCAGGGGCCCGCGGGGAGGGACCTCGGGAACATGGCTTGCGGTTTCAGCGCTATCTGAACGGGGTTCCACGTGCAATGCAGATGTGTATGTTTGTCGGGGATGGGGGATGTGATGCAGCCTGAATAAAATCTCTGAGGTTTAGGACACACATGCCGAAAGTTGAGGCAATGTAGGCGTGGCCTGTGTTTGGTGGGCGATTACATCACTTCCTGGCTCCTCTTGGAGCCCCCGTGCTGTGGGTCTGTGGGAAGCCCACTGGAGAACCTTGTGAGGTTCGCGAAGCTGCTCGAGGAATGAGCCACGTGATATTTTACTCCTTAGGAAAAAAAAGTGGCCTGATGGAGAACAAAGGAGGCCGATTTATTGCATTTTATAAAACCCAGGATGTGGAGGAGGGCAGGTCATTATCATCCAGGGCCAGCGGCCGGCACGCCATGGGAGCGGCTCTTAGTCCAAATGGATCCATGCGGGCCCCAACCCGGGGATCCCGCTGGCAGACGGTGAATTCAGCCCTACTCATCATCCCAGTCACAAGCATCCCAGGCTCCATGATATTCTTTTTAGGGGCTGATTTATGAAGTCCAGAGAAGGGGGTGGAGCCAGAGTGTGTGTGAGATGTTTTAGGAGAAGAGAAATTGGCCGGGGTACAAGTCACCGTTTATCTCCCTGGAAAGCCTTCCCTCTCTGTCACTCTTATCGTTTCCAGCAAGAAGCTGGGAGACTCTTCGGCGTCTCACGTCAGGGCCTTATATCTCTAGCTTTTCATTCCTTTGCTCTTTTTCTCCTATCTGACTGCTTTTCGAGGCATTCGGGCAGCCAACTGCTTAGCCAAAAACGTGTCCGACTCCCCCTGCCAGCGTTGTCGGTGTTTGGCCAGCCCGAGGGGGGGGGTGGGGCTTCCCTGCCACCAAGCTGGACAAGGGGCGCTGACCTCACCGGCAGGTCACATCCCACTCAAATTGGTCTCACATGTAGAAATGCGACTTGGGCTTCCTTGGGGGGGTGACTGAGGAGCCCAGGAGGTTTGCATCACGATGTAGGCCAACATCTACAATTATGGACTTTTACGATCCCTTCCCGAGAGCGGCCTCTGCCTCAGCAGCGACGCTAATTGGCCGGCTGTGCATTAATTACTTAAGAGGACACAGATTTCTCAGCCATGCAGCCCCATCGCCAGCGCTGATGTGTAAGCAAACTCTGTTATTGTGCAGGTTTATCCCTGTATTTTTGTGGGACACTGTTTGCTTTCAAACAGCTGCTCGTTGCTGTTTATTTCTGCGCCCGTTTGAAGGGGAGCTGTGTGCCGCGGGGGGGGGGGGGTCAGCGAAACCCGAGGCTTTCCTGGGAATCGGACGC